TAAACCAGGACTAAAACAGGGACTAAAACAGGGACTAAACCAGGACTAAACAGGGACTAAACCAGGACTAAACCAGGACTAAACCAGGACTAAAACCAGAACTAAACCAGGACTAAAACCAGGGACTAAACCAGGGACTAAAACAGGGACTAAACCAGGGACTAACAGGGACTAAACCAGGGACTAAACCAGGGACTAAAACAGGACTAAACCAGAACTAAAACAGGACTAAAACAGGACTAAAACAGGACTAAAACAGGGACTAAAACAGGACTAAACCAGAACTAAAACAGGGACTAAAATCGAGACTAAAACATTTTATATTTAATGTTTTATTTTTGTTCTGTTTTCAGGTTGAGCTAAACCAGGACTAAACCAGGACTAAACCAGGACTAAACCAGGACTAAACCAGGACTAAACCAGGACTAAATCAGGACTAAACCAGGACTAAACCAGGACTAAACCAGGACTAAACCAGGACTAAACCAGGACTAAATCCAGGACTAATCCAGGACTAAACCAGGACTAAACCAGGAGCCGAGTGTGTTCCTTAGTGATTTGCAGCTTTTTAATGACCCTGGCTTCGTTTACAGATCGGTCTTTAGGTTTGTCTGCTGTGTAATGACTTCATCCATACTCGTCGGTGTGGGCGGCTCATCAGTCCTGTTGTTTTAAGTGAATTTGTCCGACCGTCGTTTAAAAAAAAACAACTCCCAGAGGAACTGTAAGTCTGAGTCTGCTGTCTGTAACTTTACGACGCTCACTCCAGCCTCTGTTGGGGTTTGATCCAACACCTGGCAGTGGAGAAAGTGCGCCCTTAAAGCTTCTATATTACGCAAAATGGACTCTTATGAGCTTTAAGTCATGTTAGAATGTTCTTACTGCATCAAAAACAGACCTGGAGTTGTGTTTTATTTCATTCACATGCTTGAGTAACCCTGGCTTATTAGTCTACCTACTAGGGATGGGCATGATTAGTCAATTAATTGATAATTGATCATTAAGAATTTTGTCGATTACATACATTTTTAATCGACAAACCAAATATAGGTTGTGTGCGTAGTGTAGGGTGACCAAACGTCCGTTTTTAGCTGGACATGTCCTTTTTTCCACGTCCTGTCCTGGCCGTCCGTTTTTTTTGTTTTGTTTTTAAATAATGTCAAAACGTGCAAATGCAAATGTTCGGGTTTTCATTACCTTTAAATGGGACATTAAATTGAGCAGCTCTCGTAGCTCTCTGCACTCAGAAGGAGCGAGCTGACACAAACAGACAGACAGCCTGCAACATGCTGAAGCACAAATGCACATTTGACAATGACTTGTTCAAGAAATTCGCCGTTTTCCATCCCGGTCGAGACAAGTGGGAGACCGTGTGCACACTGTACAAAGCAGCACATATGTTTCAGTGTCCAGTGGTGGTGCCAGGGACCTCAAAGCACCAGGACCCAGAAAAACATGAAAAAGTTTTGCCAGGTGAGAGTCGCTCAATGTCGATGACAAGGCCCCACCTCCCTCCCCCCGTACGGTGTCCTGGTTTTGACAAACGCAAATATGATCACACTAACCTGTATTCACCTGAGTCATGTCCTTTAGTCCGACAGAAGTTGAACCGCATCAGCGACACAAGAGCTGTTTTTTTTTTCTTTGCTTAGTTTATGCAAATTAGCCATGAGGTTTTAAGTTTTGTTTCTGTGAGAGTTGCACAAATCTGCATTAAACACATTATAATGTCAAACGGGCTGATGTGGCTCTAGAGTGGTTACGGTTTATATGTCGTCAAGTTGAATTTATTTATGCAGATTAGTAGTGCAGATAGTAATAATAATGATGATCATTTTAATATAAAAATGTTAATGATTAACATTTGACGATCGATTAAGAACATTTAATCAAATGCCCATCCCTACAAGCTCCATCTCCAAAGCTCAGAATGCTCTGTTCCACTTGATGATGTTGTAGCATATCAAGAAGGGGTATGCAAGGGACAAAGGGGTGGAGTTGGTGTAGGTACGGGCTAGAAAACAGAAGGCTAGGCTGTGGCTCTCTGGGAGGTAGGGAAACAGTAAAAAGCACAACAAACTACAGAGATATGGTTGGTATTTTATATCGAAAAGTGAAATATATATATATATATACAATATTTACAATATTTACAATGCTCTTCAGATTTCCTCACATTTGGTTAATACAAGTGAACAATAGGAAACAGGAGTGGTGGATAAGGCACTTTGTTAATGTCCTTTATCATTGTCAAAAACCAAAGGGTGAAATTTAATGTCCGCACTTCGTGTAGAAGTGTACCTATAGTCCTTCAGGGTGTGTGCGTGTAATTGTCCAAACACGGGTTGAGTAGGTATGATGCGGGAGTGGACTGGCTGCAACAGCCCCTACCCGACCGTAGAAGCTGTTGAAGTGTCTTTCGTTGAATTCAAAGTTCCTGGGTTCAGCTCGCCATCGGGATGGTTTTCTCAACCTCAATCACCTGGCCAATTCCTTTGCGCTGCGCTATCATTTAATTTGGTCTTTTCGGCATCGATATTAGCGGTAAGGGCTCCTGAAACGTTGCATAATAAGCATAATTTTGCGAACAACCGATGTTAAAAAATCTGAAAATTTGTGATGGTAGCTCCATACCTGTGCAGCCGTCCTGTCTCGCCTCACTCCCGGGTGTGTATGGAGGGAGGGGAGCAGGTGACTTAATGAAAGTGCGAGCGTGCGCGTGACGCATTTAGTGACTCGTCGCCGTTGGAATATTCGCTATTGACCAAATTTGTCCATATTAACCTGGGTTACAATGTCAACATCAAAACTGCCCTGAAGTTCTGATAGAAGAGCAGAAGATTAATATTGTTTAAAAACGCACTGGAGTCCTTCCTGTATTACCACATGACATCACAAGGTGGAGCAGAGTGTTTTCTGTTCGAAAGTATGTTTTTGATGAGGAAACATTATAAGAGATTTGAAAATGGGGTAATATGGTCTCTTTCAGGTCCCAGGGTGCCATAGAGGAGATCAATAGTGTGAGCTGAAGCCGGTGTCTGTGGGCGGGTGAAGGATGAGCCTAACAGTGAAAGCGGGTGAGATGTATGGATTTATAGATGACTGATTGATGGATTGATTGATAAGCAGCAGGACAGCAGTGATGGAGGAGGAGGAGGAGGGGGGAATATTGACAGAAGCATTATCTGTATCCGAATCCGTTTAAAAAGAAGATCTGATCGAGCCAGAATGACATCTGTCTCACATAACCCCAGTGTGAAGTCTGCCCCGACACCGATGGCATCCTCCTGCAGCCTCATCCAGTCTGCAGCACTGCTGCCATTCTGAACACAAGTCACAGGCTACACTCTTTGGGTTGTGTGTGTGGAGGCGCTTGGCTAGCTAACTGTTATTAAGTAAGTTTGTCTAAGTCTAATGCCACATTCTACTGAATGTTGTAGTGGATAAATCTGAGTCAGTTCTCCTGACGTCCGTTGTAAATGAGTACCATTGCAACAGTTGCAGAAGATATGGATACCAGAGAAAGTTTCATGTTTATTTTGTTCTCTTCTGAATCCCATATACAGTCTGTAGAAGAACATTTGGTACAGGCTCCACAGAACTCACCAGAGCTACATCCAAATCTCAGAACTCAACCCTCTGACTGAACACTGACAGAGTTAACGTCAGGTATCACCAGCTCCTGCTACGAAATTTCATTTCATGTCATTTTTTATTTTAGTTTGAGCAAGGTCCATGACAAACATAAGGGTATGTACATGTACATGTACGGGATCATTTCTGGTGCTCAAAAGGAGCAGGTTGAAGTTTAAAAACCTTAATGTGCCCAACCGCAATTGTTTCCATACATATGTATGTACATACACATATACATACATATATATACCTATACACACACATACACACACACACAAACACATATTTACATACATGCACAAATACATTTGTGTTTGTGGTTGTACAAACTAATAAAAATGATAAAGAAAGAAGAAGTTTATCATTTATGATTGTACAAAATAAACACTAATGAGAATGAAAAAAGTGAGGATTTTGGTTTGTGTTTATGGCCGTACAAATTAATAATAATGATAAAGAAGACACAAAGGTTTATCGTTTATGATCGTACAAAATAAACAACCGTGAGAATGAAAAATTTTATAATTTTTTTCTTAAAAAAAAAAAAAAGTCTTACTATGCCATTCAAAATGAAATGTCGGTTCCTGGTCTCTGATTTTATAAAATACATTTCTCCAAAACGTGCGACTTATATATGTTTTTTTCTTCTTCATTATGCATTTTTTGGCTGGTGCGACTTATACTCCGGAGCGACTTATAGTCCGGAAAATACGGTAATAAAAATATACCTCAGCTACATACAGGGGGTCGTAATAAAAACAAGACAGATATGACATGATGACTGACAGGACAAAGGGTTATCTAATATTCATTAATAAGCAGTGGTTTCAATTCTGGGTCCATAAGACTCTGGGGCTCGGGACAACAGAACCCTCTGCCCCCCCACTGTCGACTCCCCTGGATAAAACTGACATCATGTTAAAAAAAAAAAACAGCATTAGATAAAAAGACGTTACCTAGGCCTAAAGTCTTTAAAGGTGCATTGTGTAACTTTTCTGGTGCAGGCTCAGTCAAAATCTATTCAAATGCTATTAAATCTTTCTATTTATGTGGAGGCCAAACTGGACCGAGTTACAGGTCACAGTCAGAATGTCTGTTTCTCAAGGTATTTCTGAGTAATAAAACCACCTTTAATTCAATACAAGTAGAGCTGTTTAATGTCATGTGTCACATAATGCAACCTTTAATATTAAGGTTACGTGGTTGTGTCCTTAAGCAAGACACAGTATGAGGCCCGGCGCGAGGTTTAGCTACAACTTTTGAAAAACACATAAGCAGACGTTCAGCAGATTGGACTTTTGTGGAACCTTTTGGAAAATAAAACACACAAAAGGTCAAAATGTAGAAACAAAAACAGCACTCACCTGAATCAAACTCGTCTGGAATCTGGAAAATAAAGCAAACAAACAACAAAATTCGTGTTAAAAACAATACAAAACAAAGACATTAAAAAGAATATCGTAAAATATCGTAATCCCAATATTGGTGATATCGGTGAAAATATTGAAAACTGCTTCGATCTTTGTCTCCGATATTTTCTCTGCACTGGATTTGCATTTTCTCTAATTTGGATCATTTCAGGCCTGGAACTGAAAATCTCTACTGAATTAAAAAATAAAAGGTGGCTGTTAAAATGAAACTTTGTCCTTAATGTTTTTTTTGTATGTTTTTTTTTTTTGTAATAAAGCCTGAAATAACAAACTGAAACATTATAATCAGGTAATGATGATGAGCCGCAGTAAAGAAAAGTAGTTCAAATGTTTGACCGGTACAAACTCTGACCAGTGTCTTTAATGAGTGTTTAAGAAGAAGAAGAAGATCTCAAGTGTGTTTTTGCTCCTTCTCAAAGCCCACGATGAGCGTCTAAATCCAAACAGCCTCTGGTGTGGAGCTCCACCTACTGACCTCATGCAGAATTACACCCAGTACTCATGCTGTCAAATAAACCAGGACTAAACTAAACTAGGACTAAAGCAGGATTAAACTAGGACTAAAGCAGGACTAAAACAGGACTATAGCAGGACTAAAGCAGGACTGAAGTAGGACTAAAGTAGGACTAAACCAGGACTAAACTAGGACTAAAGCGGAACTAAAACAGGACTAAAGCAGGACTAAAACAGGACTAAACCAGGCCTAAACCTGGGCTAAACCTGGACTAAAGCAAGACTAAAGCAAGACTAAAGACTAAACCAAGCCTAAACTAAGCCTAAACCAGGCCTAAACTAGGACTAAAGCAGGACTAAACTAGGACTAAAGCAGGACTAATCCAGGCCTAAACCTGGGCTAAACCCAGACTAAAGCAAGACTAAAGATTAAACCAGGCCTAAACTAGGCCTAAACCAGGCCTAAACCCAGACTAAACTAGGACTAAAGCAGGACTAAACTAGGACTAAATTATAACTAAAGCGGGACTAAAACAGGACTAAAACGGGACTAAAACAGGACTAAAACAGGACTAAAACGGGACTAAACTAGAACTAAAGCAGGACTAAAGCAGGACTAAAGCAGGACTAAACCTGGGCTAAACCTGGGCTAAACTAGGACTAAACCAGGCCTAAACATGGGCTAAAGCAGGACTAAACTAGGGTTAAACCAGGACTAATGCAGAACTAAACCAGGAGTCAGGACTAAACAAGCATTAAACCAGGACCAAAACAGGACAATTCCAGGGATAAAATGAAACTAAACTAACTGACCAGGATAAAAGTTTGAACACTTCTTGATCAGTTACACTTGTACAGTAAATCTTTCATTAAAATCACACATTTGAAACATTTTCCACTGAGCAGATGTGTCCTCTGAGCACTCTTCATGTTGTGGAGTCTGTGTATAGTCCACAGATAAATTAGTTACTCATTATATTGCAGCCTACTCAATACTGATTCCTCTCATTTGGCAACAGTGTGATTTTCTAGTTTTGATATTAGTTTTAGTTTTGATTAGTATCTGATTTTCTATACTTCTGACAATCCTGGTGCAAAACATCTGCTCTTGGGTTTGTGTGTCAGTGGGATAATATTAGTTGTATTTTTGTTTATCCATATTTACTTCAGCAACTTCAAAATTTGTTATCCTGACAGGTCTAGTCTTTGTCAAACTATAAAAGTACTGCAAAACACAAACACAAAAAGACAAAATCAGACTCCAAGCAGGACTCTTGTGAGCTTTAAGCCACTTTGTAATCACTGTTGGGCAAGTTACTTTAAAACTGTAATGTGTTATTATGTTATTGTCATTTCACAGTAATTTGTTACATTACAATATTACTGCATTTAAAATGTAAAACATTACATTACTATTGCACTTTTGTGCCATATATGGACTGAACCAGGACTAAACCAGGACTGAACCATGGACTGAACCAGGACTGAACCAGGACTGAACCAGGACTGAACCAGAACTGAACCAGAACTGAACCAGAACTGAACCAGGACAAAACCAGGACTAAACCAGAACTGAACCAGAACTGAACCAGAACTGAACCAGGACTAAACCAGAGCTGAACCAGGACTGAACCAGAACTGAACCAGAACTAAAGCAGAACTAAAGCAGAACTGAACCAGGACTAAAGCAGAACTGAACCAGGACTAAACCAGGACTAAACCAGGACAAAACCAGAGCTGAACCAGGACTGAACTAGGTCTAAACCAGAAATTAACCAGGAGTAAACCAGGTCTAAACCAGTTCTAAACCAGGTCTAAACCAGGTCTAAACCAAGACTAAATCAGGACCAAACCACGACTAATCTTGGACTAAAACTTGGAATCTAGGACAGCCCCTCACGATCACGGTCACTGCTGATATCGCAGTGATTTTAGCAAATTTGTATGAAGAAAAACCCACCACTTCAATCCAGGTTAAAAAAGCATTGTAACGCGCGATACTCACATTTGTACCGAGTAAAATATTACAATTTTTTTCCTGTAATGCCACATTACTGCATTACAGCAAAAAGCAATGAACTACAGTAATTCCTTACTTTTATATAACGCGTTACTCCTGGTTTTACTGTTGTTACCTCCTCAAAAACATACCTAGAGTTACTTCATTCACGTGTTTGAGTCATCCTTTATTATTAGTCTGGCTGCATCTCCAAAGCTCAAAATGTTCTGTTCCACCTTGTGATGTCATGAAGAGGTAGTTTTCAAGGTAACAGCTATTTTTAACTTTTAGTTCAGTAGAGATTGGAAAGTCCAGGGATGAAATGACTGAACTATATATAACCATATATATCAATGTTTTTTTTATAAATCTGTCTCCATTTTATCTCATTAATGTTAATTTAATCTTAAAATAAGCAAAGCAAACTGTACTGTCTGTTAAACATGTGTGGATGAAACAAAACACAACTCCAGGTCTGTTTGTGATGAGGAAACTACATAATAGATATATATAGGTCAGAAAACGGCGTAGTATGGGCCCTTGAATCTGACATTCCTGGAGAAGAGGTGGGGCTCAGCTGTTGGTAGTTCTTTTCTACGGAGGTGTGAAGAGGGTCATTAGCGCCATGTTCACACCTCCAGTGAGACCCAGTGTCTGAGAGTGACAGGAGCACAGGTTCCCACAGTCCGGACCCTCAGGGGGCAGTACAGTTGTCAAAGTATCGGAAATCTGATACTAACCGATACGAAAACTAGCAGCAAAACTAGAAAATCATCTGAGAATGTACTGATACTAAAAAAAAGCTACGATACGATACATATCTCGTTACAGTGAGCGTTCCATTTGATACGATTCAATATGATATATTTCAAATTGATTCAATACAGTTAAATAAAAATGAAGGCTAAAAAATCATGACTGTGATACTAAAAGTCTTTGTTAAACCACTTCTTGTGCAAAGTTCATATGAAACCCAAACATTTTAATCATTAAAACAGTGAATATGTCAAATGTGTTGCATAAAGAAGTTTCCTTCCTCTAAACAAGCAACAAAACTGTAGCTGTAACAAAATAATTAAGTAAAACATATTTTAAAAAAATCTCTAGATCGTCTTGATATATCGATACAGTAGCCCACGATATTGATACTGTTTCATAGGGATGTAACAATAACAAAAATATCATGATATTGTATCGTCAGAAGTCTCACAATAATATCGTGGGCTGTCACAATATATCAAACTACAAAATCCTTCACTTAAATGCATTGTTTTATAGTACCAATATCTAATAAACATCAGGAACTACATATCCCATGATTCATTTCAGCGCAGACAACATGAAGAAACATGTTTTTACTTGAATTCTTGGGATTATTATGGTAATAATTCACATCAAAATCTTGTCAGGGTATTTTAAAAGCAAAAAAGTGTCCTATCTACAATTATATCCACCTCTCCAAAATATTGCAATAAATATCGTACTGTCAGATGCATATCGTGATAATATTGTACCGAGAGATTTGGATATTGTTACATCCCTACTGTATCATCACATTCAATGACGCGATATACCAATATTTCAATATTTTTGCACACCCCTAGACATGAACCTTTCCTGAATGTCTTTAGAATGATCTTGAGTTGTATCAAAACAAGAGCAACTAGACTAGTATCTGGCCACAAACCACTATGGAACCTACCTGGACTACTGAATGGTTACACACATATAAGTACACATGGGAATAGAAAAGAAAGTACTATGATTTAATGTTGAAAATCACATTCTATTGTCTAAAGAAAGAGTTTTTAATTACCACTGTGGTATCAGAATCGGTACTGAGTTCATGAAATCAAGTTTGAAATTTTAAGATCGTGACAACACTAAGGGATAGGCAAAAAACTTCCAATTTATCCTTATGGCAATTAATCACGATAACAAATTTTGAATCATGATCAATTGCTACGGAGAAACATCACAATGAACTTGAATAACAAAGTTGGATGAGCTGCAACAAAAAGAAAGAAACTATAATCAGTTGTAGAAGTACAGATCCAGAGCAACTCATGGTCGATAAGCTCTGACGAGATTTTGGTTGATGGAATATAAATCGACTACAAACTCACCCGCAGTAACTAACCTTAACCCCTAAACCCGCTTTTTACTACAACCCTTCGAGAGAGCTGTATAGTCATGTTTATTACAGCTACCTCTTCACATTCTAGTGTTCAAATAAAGCTTTATGAGTATTCTTAAGGAAGCTGGTCGGCTAAAATGAAATATTGTTCTGTGCAGGAGATTTAAAACTGATATCTGCTGCTCTAAAAAGGGAAAGTATCGGCTCAAAATCGTCTCTCTCTACATAGAAATTACAGGTTTAACAGGTTTAATGCAGAAAAATAAGAAAAAGTCTCCCCACAATTGAAAGGAAAATGACAAACTGACCCCAAAAATGCACCATCCATTATTTCTTCAGCGGTAAGTCGATATAGATCTATATAACT